CTCTTGTACTATGTTGATTTTACAGTTCTAACATAGGGGAAGGGACCTGCTTCTGCTGCGGCAGGAGAGCCCGGACAGTGACCAGGATATTTGGTGTGACACTTTTTGCGATGGTGTCACAGCTTGTCACGTCCGCGACGCATTCGGACGCGTCGTTAATTGCTCTTTACTGCCAGAAAACCTACAGCGTGCTACGTTCACATTCACGCGTCACTTGATTGATAAAAGTTAATCTATATCAACGAGCGGATGCAACGTTGGTTGTACATTTTTGTTAAATGTACTTGCGGTCTCGTTACCTCTATCGAATGAACTTGATATTGGGAAAATCAGAAATTCAAAACCAACGTTGCATCTTCTGTATCATGACATCCCTGCTGGTACATTTTATATGCGTGATTTCGACATGCGGAAGGCTCTATGAAGGCGGGGGATTTGCGACCACTTTCTTGCAGAGTCCAAACAGATGCAAACAACTCGCCGCGCGACCCGGAATTGCGCCTCCCCAGAGTTAGCATTGTGGGGGCTTAATGAGCGATGACGCAGCACGAGACAGTCGGATGACTCGAGCAATAGACGGGCTCTTGTAGAGGGCACGATACTCTGCGTGCGAGACAATCAATGCGGTCCGCAAGTCATTGTCTCAATGTTCGGCCCGCTCACTATTGTATGGGCCTAACGGGTGGGTAGATAGTCCTTACCTTGTACGCCGTGAGTGAAGCCGTCCCTCAGCGGCACCGGTGAAATGCATGCAGGGCGAGAGTAAACAGGGTCCCAAAAGATAATGAAGCAGTGATGAGCGCAACATAGCTCGACATAAGGGGGAGTGTCAATGCAAGACAGTCCCCCATTCGTTGTGCTAGTCCGAAAGCACTGTATGTGTTCAGCATCAACCCTTCTTACCTGCAAGTACTTGGATGGGTAGCAAGTACTTGGATGGGTAGCGCGGGCTACTCCGTTCGTTTCTCTGACATTGGCTCTATGAAAAGCGAACGTGAAGTGTCCCCGCGTGTCCGTCGAACGGCGAGGCATCGAAAGCAACGGACGGATGAGAATAACTATGAGCTCACCGGTCAGAGTAGAGTCGCCGACACCCGCTTCATCTCGACAGGGCCTGATCTAGTTTCCAGGCGATGGCGAGGGAATGCGGCAAGTTCCCCGCTCGGTCGTAGCGGGAATTTCGCCACGGTACCCATCGCGACGACTCAAACACGGGCGACGGGCGAGACGCGCTGGCAACTGAGGCAAGGTCCAGACGTACCTTGAGATTGCAGTAGTCTATCAGCGAAGAGACAGATAGTCGGGTCAACGTTAGTTGAAAATCCCGGAGGAGCAGTAACAACTCAGCATTCGCGGTATCCAGCATGAGCAGCAGGCGGTCGCGCAGCATAGCATCAGCGGTAAACAAGTGGCCGAACGCCACAAAATGAGCAGAATCGCACGTCCCGTTTAGGAATGGTCAGACTTTGAGTGCATTCGCGGTCGGCTGCCTCAGGCCTTTTCTCCCGCCCGCACTGTTCTCAAGGCCATTGTCCGCTGCCATTGTCGTTGACGACGACGCCGAGCACTGCGAGACGGCCGTGCTGACGGAGACATTCTTCATTCCATGTCATCCCCGATCGTTTCATTTTAACCGCGGACTTTACCGCCCTTTCAACTTTGCTTCCTTCACCGCGCAAGATGCTCGACATGTCCTCCTCCTCGACGACTTCGACGACGATGGGCTCTCCTCCGCGCGCGCACTCGAAGCACGCGCCCGTTCCACTCCTGCTCTCGTCGTTCCCGACGCCGCCGACACATATCCCTACGTCTCCGCTCCCTACTCCTTCTATCATGTCTTCTCCGGCCACGCCTCCCTTCCTCAGCCCTAATCCGCCTCCATCCCTCCCGCCGTCTTCGCCCTTGCCCCCTCTGCCGGGTCCGTCTCCTATTACGGAACAGGAGACGCTCATGTTCATGTCCACCCGCTCCCGACGGTCCTCCAAGCTCTCGCATACCTCGTCTATCTATTCCAGACGCGACTCGACGGCCAGCTCAGCCAGCGGCGGCTCCGCGTCAGTCTCTCCCTCACCTGTCAGCCTCGGAAAGCGAGAGTCCATCATCTCTGTCAACTCTGTACGTTCCTTCGCGTCCTCAATCGGATCTCTCTCTGTTCCCGCCCCGCGTCGCTTCCCTCGGTCTTCCAGAGACATCTCACCCACACTGTCCTCGCGTCCCATATCCGAAGAGGTTTCTGAAGAGTCATACGGCACGCCTGTCTCCTCTGCGGTGGCGATCGACCTTTCGGACTCGTTGTCAGCAGGCGAAGATGGCATCGAGAAAGTCTTACAAGTCCAACCTCTGTCGTCTTCACCCCTATTGCCATCCCCGCTTTCTGCTCCCGAGACCGGTCCAGACGACTCGATAGCCTCCCTGTCTATGAGTGACCTTCCCAGCGATGACGCGCCGCTGGAGGATGATCTGGATCCGGATACTGAAGCCCAAATCCTCCACCTGGAGATGCGCGCTTCCCGATCAAAGAGCGACCGACACAAGCGCCGCCTGATCAACGCTGCAGAGACCATTCGCGCGCGGTCGCGTTCCGCGAGCCGTAGTCGTAGCGCGAGCCCTAAACGCGCTCGTCAATATCTCGTCAAAGAAGATGCGCCGCCCTTACCGTCTCAATCTGCGTCCTCGACAACCTCGGATGACAGATCACGTGCTGATCAGCATCGGTCTTTGCGTTCCCGCAGCCCTGATATAAAGACCATCATCCAGAGGACGCCTCGTCCTCGTCGACGCCCATCGTCCACCTTCTCAGCTTCCTCTCGATCCAAGTCCCGGAGACGCAGTGACGCGCCCCCGATCGGTTCAACACCCCGAACTCCCGCCGCCTCCCGACCTACGAGCGACGGGTCTGCCATTGGCGGCCGGCCGGTATCGCCCAGCGAGCTTGCGTACATGAAGGACTATAATGCGTCTGTTGTGGGTCTAGACGGGCACGGGGACGTCGACAGTTTGGAAGGCGACGACATCGACAGGTTAGAGGAAGAGCTAGAGGGAGGTGCAAGTGATTCAGACTCGAGCATCGACCTGCATACCCCACTACCGTGAGTACTGAGCTGTGTTTTCGTGGCGTGATAGATTGATGCCCTCTTGCGCCGAATATAACTAATTTGTATCTACAGGCACCTCATGCTCCGTGACGGTATGCTCTCCCCCAATTCGAGACTCTTACCGGGAATGGCGCGCACGCCCTCCCCCTTGTTACCGGCTGGCGGCCGACCGGGGAGTATGTTGTCCACGGGTGCGTATTCTTAGACGCTTTATGACACCTGCCATCGTCATTAAAGCCGGATTATTCCCGCACAGCCGGATCTGTTATGACCAAAAGCGGTATATACAAAGACGAACGGGACACTGAACGCAGGAGAACAAGGCATCGGGATGGTCGATTGCTTAAAGGTGGGCTTGGTCTGACGACGGGCCTGGGCTGGAGCGACAGGTAAGGTTCCGCGTTATGTACGTTTTTCTGATTTCTGAGGCCTTTCGTAGCGAGGACGAAGATGCGCCGTCTCCCCTGACCAGGCGGATCTCGTCCATGACGATCAGCGGCAGCGTGTCTCGCAAGTCCTCCGCGTCCTCCGTGCGCTCGAACCCGCATCCGCTTTCGCGGTCCGTGAGCGGTCCGCCAACGCCCGAGATACGGCAGCGGACGAAGTCCCGTTCATCCCTGCCGCCTACGTCCTGGCAGAAACGCGCTCTCAACAATGATCCCGCTCATCTCAGCACCGGCAGCACGATCTCCAATGCATCTTTAGCTTTGAGCATCCCAGAGGATACGTCGTCCACCTCTCGTGACACCTGGCCCAGTGATGGCTCCGTCCCATCTACGAAGCGCGGGCGTACAAGGGATAAAGAGAGCGACATACTCCTGACCACTCCTTCGACGTCTTCTACTTATAGTATGCCCGTTACTCCCTCGGATGCTACTCCGTCGCCATCGACGAAACCCTGGGAGAAGAAAGCTCTCCCGGCCTTACCAAGGATGCGGTCAAACACTAGCCTGCGTTCAGCTGCTGGTGCCGGCGGTGTATCTGCGGTCCCCGTTCCGCGTGGAAGAACAGTGTCAGCGGCGCCGTCCATGTCATCTATCCCTTCAAGTTCGTCAACGCCTCTGCCTGGTCGATCAGGTCGTACCAGCGATCCGATCCCCTCTGTGCCACCAGTGCCTAGTTTACGGTCCTCTACGTCCTCGATTCGGTCACCCAGTACCCCTCGACCTCTGAAACTGGCGCAAGCTCGATCTCAGATACTGCCGAAGGCGAATGCAAGTACGGAATTATCGCAGACGCTCTCGAGATCGACGGGACCCTCAGGGATCTCGCAACGACAGTTATCGCGAGTGCCGTCGATGTCGCGCATGGCGCGCCCGTCGTTCACGACGGCGTTGACTCAGGGAGACGCCGCTGCCAAGCCGAAGCCGCGTACTGGTGCAGGTATGGTGTACCGGAGTAGCTCGAATCCAACTGGCAGTGCGAGCCGGTTGCGTCTGCCGGCCCAGAGCAACGCGTCGAGCACGTCTCTTGCTCACGATCTTCCTTCCGATAATGTCGCCATCGGCATCGCCATTTGATTGTATTTTCCCCCTTGTCTATCGTAGTCGTATGTATTTTTCCTCTCGCGGAACTCAGATGTCAGGTCTTCAACTTCCGGTTATACACTTGGCATTCGCAATCACACTCGTTACCCGTTCATGCATTATAACTTGGATTTCGCTATTCTGATATACCCCGTTCATTCCTGGCACTAAAGGTCGACATCTCGGGGGTTCAGATATACTAGCGTGTATAATACGGTATTTATAATAGACGTGCGCGCGCGTTGTTGTGTCGATTACGAGACCGGCTCTTCGGGGTCCGCGAAGGGAGTTGGCGCTTCTCGGAGTCTCGCAACAAGAACGATGTGGACACGATTTCCTCAACATACTAGCATGAAGTAAGACGTCGACGCGCACCCATATCGTCCGAGGTCTTGCATCACTCGGGAGCAACTAGTAAGTGTTTCCTCGAAATGCCTCAGGCAGATGCAGAAATGCAAGACGTGCCGCAACTCGAAGGCGTCTAACGTCGCAACCACCAAGGTCGGTAAGTCGTCACTAGTAGTACTTAGTAGGCTACTATGCTATTGCAGTGGGTGCACAAGTGAGGTTACCCATTTGGGTTCGAGGCTGACTGCCTTCACATCCTTTCACTTCTTCACTTCTCTTGACTGGTCTCCCGCTGGTTGGTTGGCTTGTCCGCTAACATCTCTTCCCCTCGCCCAAGTGCCTCATTCTCCCCGCCTGACAGTCGTCCCCCGCCCCCTCTCTACTCTCTAGCGTGAAAGAAACCTCGGGGTTTCACCCTAGGGGAGCTCGCCAGGCCAATAGTAAGTTCTCAGTCGCTGCCGTGTTGAAAGCGCGACAATATCGCTCGCAGATTGACTACGGATGAAAGTGTATCGAAATAGTGGGAGTGAATCGCCCCCAGGTCGAAGGAAATGAGTACCGAACAATGGGATTGACTCCGACAGAGTAATGAACAGCACCTTCCAAGTGCCACCTACGAAGGACGCGAGGTATCCACCGGTTGTCCAAACTGCGTTTGGGCCGTATACGTCAGACTCCAGCTTCCCTTACTGAGTCGATATTGATCGAGTGAGTTTGTGCATCCTACGCAGCTTCGGCTGTTCTATGTGGTATGTGGTCAGCGCTGGAACGCAAATGTCATTATATCCAGGTCGCCAAACCGTTCAGAATTGGGTCGATTTACAGGGGATGTTTGAAGAGCATCCGGACCCGCTTCACTTCAAGTACGGTCGATTGTTGTTCAATCATGAGTAGCCGACTCGGATGTTACTGGAAGTGGGATGTCTCGGGCGCTCGCAGCGAGGGCATCCCCGACGTTCACGATAATATGAAGTATGTTGATCTCAGCCTGGAGGTGAATATTAGTCCGTTCACGTACATCGTGGGACCCGTCGAGGTCGGGGGATCGCAGAAAATAGATGGGGAAGAGGCGCTCATTGCAACAATGAGTAAGTAGTACATGCCATACTCTTTAGTCTCTAACGCCATGCCACCAGCTTCGTGATATTGCCGCCAAGCATGCAGAGTCGATCTTTGGGACCGACTGACAGTGGGCAGCACTGAACGGTTTCATACTGTACGAACACCCGCCCTGGAATCCCCCGCGCCTGATCAGAGGCGGCACCGTTTCAATCCGAAGCTACGTCTGGATCCTGACTCGTCCAAAGTCGACGCAGGGAAGATCACGTTCTCTGACGTGTATCCCTCTGCGCTTGACATGAGCAGGAGCGGGGCGAAGGATGCCGCTGCGCAGAGCCTGCTTCTTCCAAACACAGGACCATGGACGGTTCAACGCCACGTTTTCTGTGGCGCCCTTCGCTTGCTTTGGTTTCACGTCGCCTTCACTGAGGTACTAGTACGCCGCTTCGAGGACGTGCGCGTCCATGCGGCTACACTTGGACCGATGGCTGCTGAGGAGTATTGGATCAAGTCGGGTTTTGCGATCGTGAGTGATAATTTAGTCTCGATAATTTCCACGGTCAGACTTGTCAGCAGCCGGTCCTTCCTTCGGAGGCGTATATTTCGAGTCCTGAGTTCAAGACGCTACGCGACATGTTCTTTCAGAAGGTCGAGCAATCGTTCCAAGATGTTCATCTGTCCTATACGTTGATGCAAGATACTGTAGGGACCCGTCGGTCACAGAAATAGTTGCATGGAATCCCAACATGCCCAATTTCTGGGGAACTCTGGCAGCGAGTCGAGACTTCACTGCGAACGCCGGCACCAGCCACAGAATATTCATCCACTTTCCCGAGGATCAGAAGGATATTCCCCAGATACGAGCTTCGCAAACGAGCTAATATATTAATTTCCTGTTACAAATAACACTACCAATATCGTGATTTCCCAGTATCACCCATAATACACTCCTACGTTATGCAAGATTACCCAAGAACTGCTTCGTGAAGATGCCTTGATGGGCATCGGTAAGACATTTCAGGTACGTGACGTCGTGCACATTATGATCAGTAAAGTCGTACAGGGGGTATCGTGAAAGATGAAGTTCCTCATTTCGTGTCGAAGCTAACTTCGTCGCTGCGAGTTTCCTTGATGCGATTGGCGATTGCTTCGCGACGAGCTTGGTCATCCGCGCCAGTGTGGTCGCCGAACACCTAACGAGGAGCGTGAGCAGAAGGGCGAGGGGTAGGTGAAACACGGGGTACGTACGGCGTCCATTTCCTCGAGCGTTCGCCGACGAGTCTCGGGAACGAAGAAGTATACAAATGCCCATGATACGGCTGAGAAGACCTGTGCACAGCGTCAGATAGTTATGAGACGACCCTGCATTGCAGACTTACCGCGAAGAAGATGAAAGCACCTTTGCCTGTGTGCTGCACGAGCGGCGGGGTGATCAAACCAATGATAAAGTTGTTGAACCAATTCGAGACGACACTGATGGCGACTCCCTTGGCACGGAGCGACGAGGGGAAGATTTCGGCCGGCATAGCCCACGGAACTGGTGACGTTCAGAGGCGCCATGCGAAACGGAGAAACAGACAGCACTACTCACCAGGACCCCACGTAAGACCGAACACCACCATGTAGACGAAGATGAAGGCAACACCGACCCAACCTGGCAAGCGCATCGGCGGGTGCATATTGCAAATGACAAGCAATACTGACCTTTGTCGCGGTTATCTTCCCACTTGCCGGTGTAGATACCGACGAGCACGGCGACGATGATGTGGCAGATAGTCATCCCGACGCTACCCCATAGGAGCAGCGACCGCCTGCCTACGCGGTCAAGGAGCAGGAAAGAGGGCGTGACGCCGACAAGCTGACATACGTTCATGATGCCGCCCATAGTGAGCCTATTTGACAATAAAGAATCAGAAGGAGCGCGATCTTGACAGGGGAATGATGCGTACCGGGTGTTGTATCCCAACCCGAGGGTCTCGAAGAGCGAGGATGAGTAGTAAATCAGGGCGTTGATTCCGACGAACTGCTGGAAGAACCTGAATGCAGCAATCAATCAGTCAGTTAAAGCCCACCGCTCCAGCCGGGCGACCGCACGTACATCAGCCCTGTGCCGACAAGTGTTCTCTTGTAGCACCCGCTCCTGAGCAGGTCCGACCAAAGAGCGACTTCCCTATCCACGTCGGCCTTGAACCCGCGCTTGCCCGCCAGCTGCGGGTGCTTGATATCAACCATCTCCTTCTGGAAGGCGACCTCCGCGCGGATGTCGAGGAACTCCTGCTGGATGCGGGGGTCGTCGGCAGGGAGCTGGCGGAGCTTGGCGAGGGACGCCAGGCACTCTTCGTCGCGGCCTTTGGATGCGAGCCAGCGGGGGGAGAAGGGGAGGAAGAAGGCGCCCGCCGCGAGGAAGAGGCCTGTTGTTGCAACGTTAGAGCGAGCTCGGGGCATGAGGCGCGAGGTTCGCTTACCGGGCAGGATCTGCAGGATGAAGGGGAAGCGCCACGCCCATTCGGAATGGATGTAGCGGGTTCCATAGGTGATCCTGCGCAGCCGGGATGAGCGGAGCGCAGATTCCCAGTCGAGATGCTACTCACCAGTAAGCGACGACGATACCGAAGACGATGTTCCACTCTTCGAGCACGAGCAGTGCGCCGCGGATGTTTGGTGGGGAGACTTCGCTCATGTAGAGGGGTGCGACCATTGAGAGAGTGCCGATGCCGACGCCTGGGGGGTGTCAGGATCGTAGGGATGCGCAAAGGATAGGAGGATACATACCGCCAATCAAGCGACCGACAACCAACATCCCATAACCGACAGACCCCGTCTGGAGGGCAGAGCCAACAATGAACCAGCAGACGCCACTGCGCAGAGATAGTTAGACCGCAAGTAACGTAGATAAGATAACCGCGTACATAACAATGGCGTATTTCCTGCTAAACTTATCACTAGTGTAGCCAGAGACTGCGGCGCCGATCATGGCCCCTAGTTCGATCATAGCAGTCTAACCATATTCATTAGCGTGAAGCGTGGACAGCGTTTATGCGTGCCATGCTTTACCATGAGTCCCTTGAAGAACGACGCGCTGCTACTTGCGTTCTCGTCTATGCGGGGGAAGCGGGAGAGGAACTGGTCCATGACGAGGGTGACCGATATGACGCCTGTAAGGTTGGCTCAGCGGGTGGGGGGGGGGAGTACGGGCAATGTGATTTTACCTTGATCATAGCCTATATGTGGTATAAAATCAATCTGGGAAGAGGCTACAATTTGGATAGAAACATACCAAAGAGCAGGCCCCCCATGGCGGCGAAGCAGACGCATAGCACGACATAGAGATTTCCGGCATGGGCCACACCCCGCAGACCTGTAGAGGAGATGAGCATGAGAGAGTACAAGGCTCCGTAGTCGCTCACCTGAGGGTCCGTAGGCGTCGGTGAGCGTAGTGGTCTTGAGACTAGACATTATTGGAAGGCGTCGGGGGTCGTGGGGTGTGGTGGGGGAGCGCAGATCTGGGCCATTTATGTCAGGCAGGACGTTCCGGGCAACATCGGGAAAACCGTACCGGCGCGCTGATGGTGTCAGAAATGACGGTCGTCGTCGAGGTCGGCAGTGCCGCCGTGCAGTTCTGGAATACACCAGAGCCCGCTTTTATGGCCCTAACCCTAGCGCCGACTCGATCACTTCACGTGAATGGCGAATCAGCCACGCGACTCGTCCTCTCTGCTTTAGCGACCTGCAAACGCTTCCTTTGGCCACACTTGCTCCCATCCGACGCCGTATACAGAACCTGTCCCAGTCATTTGAGCGTTTGCCGTAACAGCAGCTAACACGACCCCGGCTCACGAGGGACGTTCACGCTCAACTGACCTGGAGCTCCTTCCGTCTAGCAATAGGCATACGGCTCCAAGAGAAACAGAGACACTCGGCCAGTGTCGAACCCGATAGCTTGATTTGCGACCTGCAACCGTCAACGGACTCGAAAGGAATTCATAGCAAGTTTAAAGTTGTGGCTCAGGCACGTGACGAGGCACGTGCGTGAGCAAGCTGTCCCAAACAATCCGGCGCGTCCTTGCAGTCGGACGCGCCACAGCCTCCAGCTTTCTTTCTGTTTACGCCTTGCCATGTCGGACCCCTCGCAGCTGTTGCTTGCGTCTTTGAACCCGGTGACTCGTAAAGAGGCAGAACAGAACCTCCAAACCCTCAGCCAGCAGCCAGGCTTCCTCCCTCACCTTCTCAAACTTGTCCTTAACCCGACCGGAGACCGCGCTGCGCGACTCGCTGCCAGTGTCTACCTCAAAAATGTCGTGAAAAACAGATGGGATGATGTGAGCGCTGGCTTCCATGCCTTTTAATACTCAACTAGACACGCCTGCCCGCAGGATGGGGTGCCCATACCGCCCGCAGATCAAGCCGCGATACGAGCCGACATCGTTCCTGCGATGATATCCCTATCAGGGCCGCCCGATAAAACTATGAGAGCGCAACTGGCAGAGACCGTCTCATTGATCGCTGCCGTCGATTTTCCGGAACGATGGGGCGATCTTATGGATGTACGCCTTTGTCTGAGATCCCCCTTGAGCACACCGGACTGAAGGTTCGTATCGCCCGCCAGATTCTCGTCTCGTCACTATCATCCACAGACTACAACGTCAACCTCGCCATACTCGAAACTGCCCACTCCATCTTCCGCCCCTGGCGCTCCCAAACACAAACAAATGAGCTCTACTCGACCATCAACTACGTCCTCTCGCGTTTCGTGGAACCCTTCCTTGCCTTCTTTCGACAGACCGCCGCGACCCTCCTCTCCTCCCCTCCCCCTCCTAATCTGTCACTCATCGCGCAAGTCATGGTGGTCTCTACAAACATCTTTTACGATCTGACCAGTCAAGATCTGCCCCCAGCTATGGAGGATGCCCACGCGGAGTTCTTCCAGCCGGGTGAGGGATGGTTTAGTAAGTTCATGGTCTGGGATCCCGCCGAGCTGCGCGGCGATGTGCGTATCTGCCCTCCTGGGATGCCGCACAGGCTGCTGACCCAGTCTTTAGCCCGACGATACTACGCCATCTCTGCCTGCACAACTCAAAACGACGACCGTCGAGTTGGTCGAGCTGTACTTGAACAAGTATCCCGAAATGCTTGCCCAGACCAAGACGGTCGAAGCGTTTGTCCAGACGGTCTGGAATAACCTTGGCACGGGGCAGCTGCAAGGCGTTGGAGATGATGCTGTATGTGTCTCCTCTACCTGACCTTCTGTCTATCTCTCATTCCACTCATGATATACAGCTCGTATCCCAGTCACTGCATTTTATCTCCACGGCCATCCGGTCTAACATGTACCGCGAGGTCTTCAGCGCCCGAGACACGATCGCGAACCTCGTGCAAGGCGTCGTCGTTCCCAACATCGGACTGCGAGGTAGGAGTCTCCTCAGATGTTACATAACCCCTCGTCAACCACGCTTCCCGTAGACTACGAGGTCGAACAATTCGAAGACGAGCCCCTTACGTTCATCCGGCAGGACCTTGCCGTCCCGTCCATGGGCGGCGCCGTCGGCGACGTCGCGACCCGCCGCCAGGCCGCCGCGGACATTGTGCGCGCGTTGGTCGCGTCCGGGTCGGAGACGGAGACGACGGAGGTCGTCGGCCAGTGGATCACGAACGGCCTGCAGCAGTACGCCGCGGACCCCGCGGGAAACTGGAAGTCCAAGGACAGCGCCGTGTACCTGCTCACCGCCGTCGCGACCAAGGGATCGACCACGCAGGTGCGTCCACTACTGGTATTGTGTCTGGCGGAGACGTGACGTCCGTCCCGCAGCATGGCGTGACCTCCACCAACGCGCTTGTAGATGTTGTCAAGTTCTTCTCCGACAATGTGTTCTCGGACCTGCAAGCGGCGCCGAACGCCATCCATCCCGTTCTTCAAGTCGACGCGATCAGGTTCCTATACACTTTCCGAAACCAGGTGAGACGCAGGTCAGTACCCCTACCGCAGCGCCTGACCTGAAGTCTCCCTCTCGAGCTTTCGAAAGAGCAGCTGCTAGCCGTCCTGCCGATGCTACAGCATCACCTCGCTTCGGAGAATCCTGCCTGCTACACGTTCGCTGCCATTGCGATCGAGCGGATACTGTTTATCCGACGAAATAACCAGCTCCTGTAAGTCAGAACGATACATCGTCCGCCACGTAGACCTTGATGGCTCTCCCCAGATTCACGCAAGCCGACGTTCGGGACCTGGCTCCCAGCCTGCTGGATGTGTTGCTTACGAGAATAGAGTCGGGAGGGAGCGCTCAGAAAGTAGCGGAGAACGACTACCTGATGAGATGTGAGCGAGCTAATTGATCTCCGCGTTCGCGTAGTACTGACGTGCTATAGGCGCAATGCGCGTGATCGTGACGGCGAGACAGACTCTGACGCCTGTGTACCAGCAGATACTTTCGCGACTCGTGAACATCCTGGGTGTCATTTCGCAGAACCCCAGCAACCCGGTGTTTGACCAGTACATCTTCGAGAGTATATCTGCTCTGATACGGTACGGTTCTCGTCGCGGATGGCCTGCGTGTATCTCACCGGCGCTCAGGTTCATCGTTGCTGGCAAACCAGACACCCTGCCGGTGTTCGAGGAGACCTTATTTGGGCCGATCACCATCATCCTGCAGCAAGACATTGAACGTGCGTTTTCACGATCGGTGATCAATTCCTCTGCTAAATGACCGCTGTGCAGAGTACATCCCCTATACATTCCAGATCCTGGCTCAACTGCTGGAACTGCACCACACCGGTGCCCCTGAGGCCTATCGGGCGTTGCAACCGTTCTTGACCCATGCGGCCGTGTGGGCGCAGAAAGGGAACATTCCTGGATTGGTAAAGCTGCTCAAGGCGTTCCTGGCAAAAGACACGGCGTACATGGTCGAAACGGGGGCCTATGTCAAAGTATTGGGCGTTATCCAGCAGCGACTGATCCCGTCCAAGGTCCACGACTCGTGGGGATTCGAGCTGTTGTGCACGCTCATATCCAATATACCTGGGTGCGTGGACACAGGCGCGTTTCGTTCTGTTTTGCGCTGAATGCTTCTGTGCAGGACTACGATGCTTCAGTACATGCGACCGCTCGTCCTCGTGCTCCTGACCCGCATGCAGACCAGCAAGACTGATAAATACGTGTATCATTTCACGTACTTTTTCCTGTTCGCCACGGCGATCCAGATGCCCAGTGTCACTCCGGATGTGGTCATCCGGACCATGGAGCAGCTTCAGACTGGGTGAGAATATGTCCGTTCGCATTGCATCGGGAAGCTGACGTGTGTCACAGACTGTGGTTGCAGATCCTGAACAATATTATGCTGCCGCAGGTACCGAAGATGCCGCACAAGGATAGAAAGGTCACTGCGGTGGGTGTGACGCGAATGCTCACGGAGAGCGAGTACATGATACAAGAGCCATATGTCACCGCATGGTAACGTCGCATCTCTCATGGTACTTTTTGTAACTGTGACTAAAACGACGCGCCTGGGCAGGCCGGCGGCGTTCACTGCGCTCGCCAAAGTGTTCCAGGAGCCGCAGCATCTGAAGGCAAAGGAGGAGGAGCAGGACGCGGAGACGGGCCTGACGGAGATCGACTACGAGGAGGCGACGGCGGGGTACCAGGCGGCGTACTCGCGGCTGGCGGCGTCGGAGGGGCCGAGCGTCGACCCGATCGCGTACGTGAAAAACCCGCAGGAGTTCGCAGCGCGGCAGCTGAGCGCGCTCGTGGGCCGGTTCCCTCAGGCGCGGTCGCTGATAGCAGCTGCGGACCAGGCGGAGGTGGGGCCGTTTGTGCAGAGTCTGAAAGCGTCTGGTTTGGCGCTATAAAGGGAGGTTTCGATAGAACTAGAGGAGGTGTAGATACTACATAATTGTACTGGTATGCATTGGCGGTTCCTGGTTCTCGCGCTCGGTATGCTATAGCTTTGCGGAGACAGAGCATGGGTTTCGCAGTAACTTTTGCAACCCGTGCCGCGTTTTCTCGTCCAAGGCTGCAGGCTTTCGGGATTTGTTGTCCACGAAGACGTGCGTGTACCCGCCGACAGCAGCAGGCTTATCCTTGCCCTCCTCGAAGACGCCGACTTCGTACGTGACTGAGCTCTTGCCAAGCTTGTTCACCCGCAACGCCAAGTCAAGCACTTGGGGATACGAGAGCGGACGGAAGTACTGGCAGTGCGAGGAGACGACGAGCCCGATCAGGTCCGAGTGGGGCGGGGCCAAGCCGCAGTGCTCGATGAGGTAGGCGTTGACGATGGAGTCAAAGAAGAGGTAGTAGACGGCGTTGTTGACGTGCGCGTACTGGTCGTTGTCGCTCCTGGCGCTGGACTCAGACGGGGGCGGCAAACGGACAGGAAGGGCGTGCTGACCATCGTGTGCGGTACGGTAAAAAGTAGAGATAATCTGCACGGCGTCGAGACCTCAGCTCGGCGTCGGACGTGCTAGCCATCGAAAGCGACGTCGAGCGCAGCGTCCAAGTCGACTTGGAGGAGGCTCGGTAATCGCCGGGTGGCGCATGACGCGTCGCGCATTCGACGCGCAATGCAGCATTCCCTCGTACCCCGACCGCCTCTGCCGCCATGGAATGCTCGTTTGCGCTGACCGGAAAGGACTATGTGATTGTCGCGGCCGACACGACCGCCGCGCGCTCCATCGTCAAGATGAAGGGCGACGAGGACAAGATCAAGACGCTCGGGCCCCATCTGCTCATGGCCTACTCTGGTGAACCAGGTCCGTTCCTCCTCGTATGTCTTCAATATTGCGAGGCTTACCTTTCTCCAGGCGACACCGTCCAGTTTGCCGAGTACGTCGAGCGCAACATCCGCCTCTACCAGATCCGCAACCTCTACCCCCTGCGCCCCGCCTCCGCCGCCTCCTGGATCCGCCGCTCCCTCGCAGACTCGCTGCGCTCCCGCTCGCCCTACTCTGTCAACCTCCTCCTCGGCGGGTACGACACCGCCGCGCAGACGCCGTCGCTCTACTGGATCGACTACCTCGGGACGATTGCCACAGTGCCGTTTGCGTGCCACGGCTACGGGAGCTACTTTGCGCTCAGTTTGCTCGACCGGTCCGTGTTCACGTGCTCACTTGCAATGCTTCAATTGACCCCTGTTCCCCATAGGTATCACAACCCCGAAGGGAGTCTGGAGGAGGGCCTTGAGACGCTGAAGAGATGTATTGACGAGGTCGCCAAGCGGTTAGTGGTCAGCCCAGGCAAATACAAGGTCAAGGTGGTGGACAAGGACGGGATCCGTGAGATCGAGTTGTAATTTGATGCATGGATCTTTATTGTACTATGGCATTCCCGATGACACTTGCCCTCCGCTGGCGACTCGTAGCATTCGGCCTCGAAGCGTCCGTACGTCCTAGTATTCTGTTGTTTTAGATGGCTGGTGACGATGTGACAACATACATATCGCCGAATGGGTGTCGTTGAGAGACGGCGTCCCTCGCCACTTACCTACAAGAGCGAGCGCATCCGTATCATCGGTGCATATATCCGGTATTAAACGGAGGGGCAGTTGCAAAGCACTCAGAGCACATCCAAGGACTTACTATGGTGGCGCGCTCTTTCGAAAATATGGAGGTGAGTACATCGAAGTATTAATCTCTGGAGGAGGCCATGGATACACAGTATACACTATCGAACACAAATTATACATGAAAAGGATAGGATACAACGATTATGACAGAGCTTCCATGTACGATGCGAAGGGTGCGTGGGTGATGTATCGCTAATCGTTCCGGAACCCAAGTGCAGTCCACGTCCTATTCCGAAGCGCGCATCGTTATACAGCCGTCGTCGCAGCTACTCAAGCAGTCCAGGTCGAGTCCCAGTCCATGCAGCGCCCCAGACGTCGCGCCGGCATCCATCGAGGAGCTCTTCAGCGGCGACGGCTGCCGCGGGACCTTTTCACGTCCAGCACTTACACGCTTCGGAGAACCCGAAGAGGCCTCGGCAGTAGATGGCATTGTCGCGAGCGGCTCGACGTTGAGCGTCTGCGCGATCGAGGCGAACGGGCGGCGGGAGGATGCTTTGGACAGGACAGAGGGGCTTTCCCCGCCCCCGCGAGCGGGGCCGCGTTTCCGGACGGCTGAGCGGGAGACAGTGGGCCGGGCAGATTTGCCGAATTCTGCGTCTTGGTTTTCTTTGTCTTCGTCGGTGTGGTCGGACGAGGCAGCAGCAGAGCGCACAGAGGGACAGGTAGCCACAAAGGGGAGAGACGGAGAGGGGGCGGCAGAGCGCACAGCGGGAGACGTGGCGACAGAGTGGAGAGACGGAGATGGGGCAACAGAGCGCAGAGAGGGAGAGGTAGCAGCCGAGCGGAGAGACGGAGAGGACTTGTGTTTGACGGTAGGTTTGTGGTAGGACGACCGCTTCCCATCGCCGATGACCGAGGCGCGGTTCAGAGGAGACGCAGACTGGGTCCGGGGTATCGGGCGGCGTATGGTCTGGCCGAGCGAGGAGGTAGCAGCAGGGTATGGCGCGGGGACTTCGAGGTACATGGATTGGCGACTCTGCACGGAGACCAGGGAGGACATCCTAGAGATGACGAAGCGAGGCGCGGAACTAGAAGCGTCACAGGACAGGTTCCCGAGAGAGTGACAAGAGCTACTAGTGCACAGAGTAGGAGAGGACAGAGAGGCGTCGCCGATGCTGGACATGGACCTCTGGGCAGCCGGGTGCTTGACATGTGCCGCCTCGGGGACGTCCAGAGAAGAAGCAGCCGCCGAGTAGGTCAGAGAGGACGCGCCAAACAGCTCGCTGAAGGAGGGGCTTTGCAAAAGCGACGGATCACTTCGGCAAGAAGAGTACAAGCTCATAGAAACAGCGGAATAGGTCCTCGGTGTCCTGAGCTGCGGGTTCCTCTGCTTGAACTCTTCGCGCGCGAGCTTGCTGAGGCGCATCTGCATTTGCGTCTCCCAGTCGGGCGAGCCGAGCAGACCGACGAGGTAGCTATTCCTTGTAGCCTGGTATTCCACTTTCTCAGAGATTGAAAGCGCCATGGAAGTCGGGCGGGAGTTGTCCGAGGTCGTCGCCGGGGAGTAGGAGATGGGGAGGAGGTGGATAGAGTGGAGACGCCTGTATTTGAGGTAGATGCATTTGACGAGGACGAGGACGATGAAGACGGCGAGGACGGAGAGCAGCGCGACTTCAGTGGAATGGTTGTTCGCAGCGGACGAAGTGGGAAGTGCTGCGGCGGTCATCGTCGAGGAGGGGGCGCTGGAGGTTGGAGGTTGGAGGCAACTTCCAATTTGAAGTCCAACTTCAAGCTCGGCGAGTCACAATGGTGACGGTGACTGCACGTGACTCCTCAGCAGTACGCGCCATCCTCCCTACTGTATTGCGGCGGTTTTGTAACAGCTTACTTACACGTACAGTGAATGGGCTCAGCAAAACGTCCGAGCCGAGCGGACGCGTGTCGCCTTATCGGTCTACCTTTCCTCCTGAGGGCGGTTAGTCAAATATCTGATGTAAGCGCACATTCCTGCTCCTGCTTTATTCCTCCTGACCATGTCCTATAAGTATATGCCACAGAAAAACATGAGATACCTATACAACATCTTCCACGATGCCCTCGACGCCTGTAGCACTTGCTGTTGCCATCGTCTTTGCGCTGGCCGCTTACATTCTTAGGCTCTTCACCAGGTCCTATTTCTCCCCAGCGCGTGACATACCAGGTCCCCCCAACCCGAGCTGGTTATGGGGTAACTTCAAGGACATTGTCTTTGGGGAGAATTGGGCCTTGCATCAGCAATGGTTCGACACGTACGGCCCCGTGGTCCGGTATACCGGGCTCTTTAACGTGCGTCTCGGGCATCCCAAGGTATAACTGGGCCGCTAACCTGCGACTAGGGAAATACGGTCGTTACCAGAGATTCAAGAGCAATCCACCACGTCCTCAGCGACCCTGCCTACGAGAAGCCACCGCAGGCCCAACGGGACCTTGCGGCTATCGTCGGCGGCAAGGGTACGTCGTCTCTACGGCGTGATATAGACTCGAATTGACAGCCATACTCAGGTCTTCTCCTTGTTGAAGGTCCGTTTCATTGTGCTGTTTACTGACCAGGTCTCACTGTGTGCTTCAATCCAGGTCATGAACACAGAAAGCAGGTAAGCAGCGGCCCTCCTCCCCCGGATCGCGAGACAGTACTGATAGCTCTCGATTGCCTCGATCTTCCAGAAGCGCGTCATGGTAAGAATCACTCACATATGGCTCAGTATCTGTACCTCCGTTCACCCCCACTGACAGAACCCGGCGTTCGGGCCCACCCAAATCCGCGAAATGACAGACATCTTCGTCGAGAAATCTCTCCAGGTCTGTCCCACCTTCTTACATCTCCTGAAGATCTGAGCCGGTCACTAAACTAACGTCTGTCCTACCACCAGCTCCGCGACATTTGGATGTCCGAGATTGCCAAGAGCTCGTCAGCTTCTAATTCCGAGAAAGCAACAGTCGACGCCGTATCCTGGCTGAGCAAACTCACCTTGGACGTCATCGGTCTTGCCGGTCAGCCTCACTGCCCACTTTTCTGTCACTACATGAGTACTTACCATGACACTGCATAGGTTTCAATTACCACTTCGACGCGCTGAATCCTGCGGGCACAACGAACGAGCTCAACGATGCCTTCTCGATCATTTTCCAGACTGCGACCGCCTTCACCTTCTTCAATTTCGCCAAGGGGTACTTTCCCATCCTACAGTATCTCGTACGTCCGCTCCCTTTCTCCTCCATCCAGTCACTCAACCACCGTCTTCCCGGCGATCGACATAGCCGACAGAGCGTAACCGTAAATCTGCCCAGGGCCAAGCCGCGATGAACCGCATCGGCAGACAGCTCCTCGCAGAGAAGAAAGCCGCCGTGCTCGCCGACCTCCGCGGCGAGAAGCAAAAAGTGGGGAGGGACAGCGTGCAGGGTCGCGACCTGCTCAGCCTGCTCGTGCGAGCGAATATGGCGACGGACCTCCCAGAGGGGCAGAGAATGAGCGATGAGGATGTTTTGGCGCGTGCGTGCTCTTTCGCATCGTCTTAGCCAAGGACGGCAATGCGCGGACGCGTGCTGACCTGTATCACGCGGCTTAGAGGTCCCGACGTTCCTGGCAGCCGGGCACGAAACGACAAGCACGTCAACCACCTGGGCCCTCTACGCACTCGCCCTCGCTCCCGAGGTCCAATCCAAGCTGCGGGCCGAGGTCCTCGGTGTCTCCACTGACATGCCGAGCATGGACGAGCTCATGGCGCTGCCCTACCTCGACGCGGTGTGCCGCGAGACGCTGAGGGTGCACGCGCCCGTGCCGGCCTCAGTAAGGATCGCTACGCGGGACGACGTGATACCCACCGACTCGAAGTGGGTGGACCGGAACGGGGTAGAGAGGCAAGAAATTAGGTGAGTGTTTCGGCCGAGGAGGTCTGAAGGGAAAACCTGACATGGGATGGGGCAGAGTTGCGAAGGGCGACATAGTGTTTATACCCATCCTTGTTCTTAACCGCGCCCAGGCAATCTGGGGGGACGACGCAGAGGAGTTCAGGTAGGCACGGTGGTGCTCACTGTACTACTGGGTGGCTGAGCTGAACTGTCATATGCAGACCAGAGCGCTGGGAGAAAATCCCCGAAGCGGCCAGCAAGGTCCCCGGGATCTGGGGCAACCTGATGACGTTCCTAGGCGGCCAGCACGCCTGCATCGGGTACCGGTTCTCCATCGTCGAGTGCGTCTTCCCGCCCTCATGCTTATGCGGCTATGTACTAACGTACCCGAGAAGAATGAAGGCGATTTTGTTCACGCTCGTGCGCGCGTTCGAGCTCGAGCTCGGGGTACCCGCAGATAAGATTGTCAAGCGTTCTATGATCGTTACCCGCCCAGTGGACCTCTCGGAGGGAGAGGGGAAGAATAGGCTGCCGCTGATCATCCGGCCCTTGCGGCAGTAGAGTATTGGGACGGATAGAGGAGACTAGTGCCTTAGTATAGTTCACTTGTAGTTAGGTACCCGGTGGAGACATATCTTAGATTGGGTAATCCAACTCTTAGGAGAAGTCGGCACATCCTACAGGGCACGGATCAAAACTACACCACGGTGTCGGATTCTTTTCACTTCTATTGTGAGATCGCCACTTTTAAACGCCAGTACGGCTCAAGCAAGTACTTACATACATCGCACGACTTACTTGCTCTATGTTGGTCTCGCGAACGCGGAGATCACGAGCAAGTAACCGTCAAATGCTGACCGCCGAACTGTAGCTGCTCAGACAGTACTTTCTGAGAGCGGTATAAGTACTCAAGGATAGACAACGCGGTGCACGAGCGTATACTACGTAACACCTAGGGCGGCGAGCTCATTGGCTACAGTTTCGCACCACGTGCCCTCGTCAGTCCGACGCGTCTCAGGGGCTAAGCACGCGACAACCTGAGCCATTTTCTCTGTAAAATCCAGCTCCGACTTGCATCTATTGGCAAACTTTGAAGTCGACTAATACGATGGGGGTCGTTTCTCTTGACTGCAGTGAGGATCTTCTCAAGATAGGTCGCCCTAGTGCGATTGTACGAGTTCCTCGCTTGTTGACAGTACTCATCCAGCTGCATAGAGGCTCTCAAGGAGATGCTGAATATTGCCGAGTCTGATTCTATTCATCTCTCCCCAATGATGGTCTGTGACCTGCACAAAGTTCTGATGCGGACGAGTCGCGTACTCTGCGTCTCCGCGCCGCGTGGTCAATGACTGTCCCATACCATCGGTGTGACCCGACAAGCGTCCTGCGTCAATGTCACGGCAACCTCGCGGCACGGCCAAAAGATCCAATTCTGTCCCTATGACGAGGTCGACGCAGAGTTAGAGACTTTCTGCGAGCGCTTCAATGTGAGTGTCCTTCGTTACAGCATGACACTCGCAGCCTCAGGTGTGGCTGGGAGCTCCTGGCGCAGCCCGACATGGACCCATTTGCCGCCGCTGCTTGGATCAGTCATGTTTTCGTCACGATTCATCCGTTTGAGGTGTGATTATTCCCGCTATATTAATTCACGTCAGTTAGCAATGCGAATAATCATCTCATTAGGACGGCAACGGTCGAATATCTCGGATCCTGGCTTCCATACCTTTGGTAAGGCGGGGATACCCGCCGCTCAACATCCCGTCCTTCTTAAGAGACTCGTATCACATCGTGCTGAACGACGTATGCTTCCTCAGCTCTCCTCCATCACCACAACACTGAGTGTGGAACAGATGAGAGCCAACCGCGACGGGGATTATTCCCTGCTAATGAAATGTTTATACAGTGGAATGAGGGGAATGGTATCGATGGTGAAGCCGCTCATTCGAGCGTCTACGATGGAATGGTGAGACGCCAAGCAATATCAGTTTGTGAATCGTCTATTGTGTTGCTCGTACACCGGTGCCAGGTCCTCTGACGGTCAGCAATGAACTTGCGAGCACGCCTTGTGGTCATGTGCGGTCTGTATTGTTTCTCGGCGATATTCGCTAATGGGATCCCGTCGTATACTGTCGGCGAACTAAAGTAGATTGGCGGACCAGTGCCTACTCAAGGCACTGGTGTTCGCATTCTCTCGAAAATAAGAGCGTTCTATGTAGTGCCATCTACGTAAGTAGGCTTTACAACAGCATCGGATCCAGTGCATCCAAGATGGACTAGCACACGCGACTCTTTAAGCTTCCACATACGCAATACACCGACACTGCCTCTTCCATACCCGTCACGTCCCACCCGCGTCCTCAGAACAGAAAGTAATGAATGTGTGGTCGACGAAAATTGTCAATGTCAATCAATGTCTTTGATGATATGAGCGCGGTATCGCATGCTGATGAAGTGGGTAACATATATGCAGTGAAATCCGATAACCAAGAAAAGATGCTATAATCATGAGACGAACGCGAATCGGGATGGGGTAGAGAGATGCATGCGCAAGAACCCCCGCGGTCCAAACCTACCGACGACGCCAGCGCTAGCGCGCGCCGCCGACAAAGACGGCCATCCAGCCCCACAGCGCCTGCACCATCAGCTGCACGACCCACGCCGGGTCCGCGAGGGGCACGACGAGCCTCTCCACCATGCGTACCTGCCGCCCCGCACTCGAGCGGGCGAGGCTGGCATCAGCACTCGGCGCGTGGTATGTCGGCTCGAACATTGCGAGGGGGAGCCCGCCGGGGATGGAGAGGTCGGACGTGGAGGAGGCGGCGGAGGCGAGCGTCGCCCACGCCGGCTGGCCGCCCGCCTGCGGGAGCTCGCGCATCTGCAGCGGGCGGCGCGCGGGGGACCGCGGGGGGGTGGAGAGGTGGCGGTAGCTGGGGAGGGGGGAGGCTGTGGGCAGGGGGAGCAGGTCCGGGTCGGGGTGGCTCTCTAAGGGCTTCTCGGAGGGCTGTGGGGTGACTGGACGTGATGCGGGAAGTGAGGGAGGGGGAGGGGTGGGGGCGCTGGGTGCGGGGGGCTTGTCGAAGGAGATTAGGTCTTGCTTCTCGTCGAGGTCGATAGCGGGCGGGGGCGGTGGCACCGGTTCCGACAGAGTGGCCTTTTCGTCGAGCACTACCTTCTCATCATCCAAACTGACCTCTTTGTTCCCGCCCTGGGCATCGTCTGGGCCCTTCTCCCCGTCCTCCTCGAGCGCGATGCGTTTGCCAAGGACGAACTCACGAACGGGCAGGATAAAGCAGAGCGCGAGGGACACGCCGACAAAGGCAAGCGCGGCGCTCGCGACGCTCAAAGTGAGCAGCAGCAGCGGGGGCGGCTCCGATAAGGGTACGCCGGTGAAGTCGAACAACGCCCGCTGAGGAATCTGAGGCGACTTGGCCGGGGCTTCCTCTGCCGCCACCCGCGACACCAGGTCCTCTGGAACCCTCACACCGCCATCCAAGTCGTCCAGTTTGCCGCCGATGGCTTCGTACAGCTTGCGCTCCTCGGCGTCCTGGATGGGGGCGATGACCTTGACGGCGTCGAGCCCCAGCTGGGAGAGGAAGCTCTCCTGCTCGGCGGGGGAGGTCAGGTGGACTTGGATGTCCTCGTCTGACGGTGGTAAGAGGCTGCGTGATGGATCAGCCAGTGCGAGGACGGGAAATAGTACGGATGCCTAGATACCCGGTGCGGGAGTGGAAGTATGACTGGATGGCATTCTGGAGTGCTGGCTTGGAAGCGCTGCAGAGACAATCAGCGAGACGGAAAGAGAGACGGGAAAGCGTGAATCTTACAGGAGGGAGGCGTCCCGGGGGGAGTCGAGGATGGGACGGGCAGTTACGACCAGCGCGAGGAAGGAAAAGGACGCGAGCACGGTGAGCGTCATGCTAGCAGCAGAGCTATAAGAGTATAGCTGCGCAGATAATCAAGGCGGAAATGAAACAAAGCTTGCAATCGCAACGCAGTACGAGGACAAGGTGCTCAGGCCACGAGGCGCTCGTCGCCGTGGGACCCGCACTCCTTGGTTTCCCCGGTGTTTCCCCGCAGCTGACATCTAGCTCTCTAAAGGCCGCACTTGCCCAGCCTAGAGTCAGGTATCGAACTTGATATTCGTACAGTACTACGACCCAGGCGTACAACCTCAGAGTGCTATCCAAGTCCCTTGTCTTTCATCTCCACATAAGCATTCCACCCGATACGATCAATGGGTGAAATAAGATAAACCAAAGTTACCCTCCCACAATTCCCTGCCCATGCATCCAGACACAGACCCCTACCGCCTGTACGGCCTCACAATGAGCGGGAGCCGATTCTTCCCCTCGCCGTCGGACGTGTCGACGGGGCGCGTGACGATCACCGAGCGCTTCACGATCTTCTCCTTCGGCACCGCGAGCTCGAACTCGAACGCGCGCACGAGCGTGAACAGGATCGCCTTCATCCTGTGTGGGGCAGTTATGATGATTGTGCGAGGGCACACGCGGAAGGGGAGGACGCACTCGACGACGGAGAAGCGGTACCCGATGCACGCGTGCGCGCCGCCGAGGAAGGTGAGCAGGTTGCCCCACACGCCGGGGACCTTGCCCGCCTGCTCGGGGAGGCGCTCCCAGCGCTCCGGCCTTGACTACCAATTCAGCTCTGGGGAGTGAGCGCTCACGAGTATCACGCGCACCTGAACTCGTGCGCGTCGTCGCCCCATATGGACCTGGCGCGGTTGAGCGCGAGGATGGGCACGAACACGACGTCGCCCTTGGCGACCCTACAGCACCCCGTCAGCCCTCCCTCGCCCCCGCCCTGACAAACACTCACCTGATCCCCTCCCTCTCCACGCCCCTGCGGTCCACCCACCGCCCCGCCGTGGGTATCACGTCCTCCCTCGTCGCGACGCGCACCGTGCTCGGCACGGGCGCGTGCACCCTGAGGGTCTCGCGGCACACCGCGTCGAGGTAGGGCAGCGCCATGAGGTCGTCCATGCTCGGCGCGTCGGTGGGCACGCCGAGGAGCTCCGCGCGGAGCCTCGCCTGGACGGCGGGCGCGAGCGCGAGCGCGTAGAGGCACCAGGTGGTGGAGGTGCTCGTGGTCTCGTGGCCGGCGACGAGGAACGTCGGGACCTCTGCCGCCCGCGCATCAGTGTATGTCGCCTTTGCACCACACGGCGGGAAAAGGCACTCACGCGCGAGCACGTCCTCGTCGCGCATGCGCTGCGACTCGGGGAGGTCCGTCGCCATGTTCGCGCGCACGAGGAGGGAGAGGAGGTCGCGCCCCTGCACGCTGTCCCTGCCCACCTTGCCCTTCTCTCCTCGTATCTCCGCGAGGACGGCGGCCTTTTTCTCCGCGAGGAGCTGCCGCCCGATGCGCGTCATGGCGGCCTTTGCGTGCGCGGTGCGGCGGTTGCGCGCGGTCGGCTGGGGGGAAGGGTGAGCATACAGCAGCTGGCAGGGACGGGGGAACGCACGAGGTGCTGCAGGACGGGAAAGTACCCCTGCAGAAAGCCCTGGACGACGTTGAAAAAGCTGAACTCGGTGCCGGCCTGGAAGATGACGGAGAAGGCCTGGTTGAGCTCGTTCGGGGCGCCGGCGGGGTTGAGCGCGTCGAAGCGGTAGTTGAAGCCTGCGTCCGGAGTCGGGATCTGAGAGGGGAACGAAGGGGGAAGGGGGGACGCACCGGCGAGCCCGATGACGTCGAGGGTGAGCTTGCTGAGCCAGGAGACGGCGTCGACTTTGGCTTGCTCGGAGTCGGAGGATTTCGAGATTTCGGACATCCAGATGTCGCGGAGCTGGTGGGAGGATGGGACCCTAGTTGGGTGAGCGGTGAGACGTGACTGACCTGGAGAGACTTTTCGACAAAGATGTCGGTCATTTCGCGGATTTGGGTGGGCCCGAAGGCGGGGTTCTAAGGGGGTTGAGGGGAGATGTGGAGCGGCAAGGGAGGCTAACTGACCATGACGCGTCTCTGCAGGATGAAAGTGTTAGGGTGCTGAGACGAGAGGGAAGAGTCACATGCCTGCTTTCTGTGCTCCTCGCCTTTATTAGGCAGGGTCAGGGCTAGTACAACGGAAGAGATGGAGCGGACTGACCCTCGACTACGAGAAGACCTGCGCAGGACGCCGGTAAGAGTGCGCGCAGACGAGAAAGAACGGCACGCACCCTCTCCGACAATAGCGGCAAGGTTCCGCTGGGCCTGCGACGGCTTTTCGTAGGCGGGGTCGTTGAGGACGTGGTGGAGCGCTCTCGGGTCCATGGTGACGATCCGGTTATCCTATGCTCGCGTTAGCATTCAGCCTGGCACGGCATACTCTCCGCTCACGTTGAACATGCCCGTATACCTAACAACAGGGCCATATTCCTCCAGCCACTGCTCGTGCAGGACCGAGTTTTCAGCCTTGACGATTTCCCGGAGGTGGCCCCATAGCAGGCTCGGGTTGGGCGGGCCGGGGATGTCGCGGGCGGGGGAAAAGTACGATCTGACGAAGCGGCCGAGGATGTAGACTGCTAGAGAAACGGCGGCGGCGGCGGCGGCGGCGGGGAGGAGCAGCGTCGGGGGCATCGTGGGCGGTGTGTGGGTTGGTTGTGTGCTGCGACGGCCAGATATAGGACACGACGGAGGGACGTAGCAGCGCAGGACGCTTCAAGCGTGACAAACAACGCTGCGATAAGATAACCACGTGGGAGGGTTACCTCAGCGACAGCAGGCCCATGCGTTGCCCGACGCCGCCGTCGATGGCACCACGACCGCCGCGCTCGCCCGCCAGACAGTCGTTCGCGCCGCCCGCCGACGCCGCGACGTTCCGCGACCTGCTCCTGTTCGAAGAGCGGCTCAAGACGAACGCGCTCATCCTGAACCGCCGCAAGTCCCGCTACCAGCGTGCGTCGCTTCTCTGCCGGACATCCTCCTGACGCTGCTAAGAGCGAGCCCGCCCAGTCTTCCTCGCGCAGCTGCTCGCCATCATCGCGTTTCTGCTCTGCGAGGTGCTGCTGCAGACCGACTATCTCTCAGTCCCGTATCGATACGCATTGCGCGCGACGCTGCCCGATGTCTACCGCGACGCCGCCGCCGTCCGCATCCACCCGTTCTTCGCCTCCGGGCTGCTCTTCGTAGCCGTCACCACCCTCGTCCTCTTCTTCGCCAGCGGCACCTACTCGGAGAAGATCGGCTATGCCAACCGGTGAGCGCGCCCCGACCGCCCCTCCTTCCCCGCGTCTGACCCCCACGCAGCTACGTCCCGCACGCCAACAAGGCCCTGCGCTCGTTCAACATGTACCTCAACGTCCGCCAGCCGCCCCTGCGCGCCACGCTGCCCTTGTACTCCCTCCTCTCGCGGCTGCTCCCGCGCTCGTCCTCCCCGCCTCGTCCACCACAGCCCCGCTCCGCGCGCAGCCGCTCGCCGTCGCCGTCGCCGTCGCCGTCGACTGCGAAACGCTCGCCCTCGCTCAACCCGGCCATCCCGTCCATCCCGCCCTCCTCCAACCCGCGCGGCGAGCTCATCTTCAGCAGCCGCGTCGACCGCCACTTCCGCGAGGGCTACGAGCGCTACCGCAACGCCTTTGAGCGCAGGCGCGGCGAGCGCGAGCGCGCCGCGTGGGAGAGGACGTGGGCGGGGTGGCTGGCCACGCGCGTCGGCGCGGGGAGGGCAAGGGTAGAGGAGGACAAGGGCAAGGCGCCTGCGTCGGGGAGGGCGGCGCCCGGTGGGAGGGTTAGCACCCCGGAGAAGGGCAGGGCTGGGTGATGTTGCAATATATATTTTGGGGATCTGCATCTTTCACCTGCGCGCGCCCGCTGTGAGCACATAAGTGTACTGCGAGTTTCCGGCGCGGTCAGCGTACCACGGCTCACTGGCAAGCCGTTGTATCGCAATGGCAAGACGCATTCACCTTTGCGTCGTACAGTACGCGTAGACAACCATCCGTCGAGATAAGATAACCACGTGCTTCCCACGCGCCCCGAGTCGTTTACGTCCTCGCCGCTCGTCGTCCTCAACAGAGTCAACACCACCGATGGCGCCGCCGGACGAGTACAAGCAGTACGCCGCCCACCCCGACTCGCACGCCGACCCCGAGCAGCAAGCCCTCCTCCCCGGCCCCGGCCCCGGCCCCGACATCCCGCCCCCGCCCGCCCCGCGCCAGCGGCCCAAGTCTGCGTACGCCTACCCCGCCCTCGCCTTCGTCGCCGGCGCCCTCGCCTGCCTCGCCGCGCAGCTCCTCTTCTGCGCGTCCGGCTGCTTCTCGCGCTCGTCTCCTGCCCCCTCCGCGTACCCCACCGACGCACACGTCCTCGCCCCGCCGTACGCGGGCTCGACGCAGGTGCACCGCTTCCCGCCCGCCTCGCCCTCCAACGCCGCGCCCTCGCTCTTCCCCACCAGCGTCGGGTTCGCCGGCATCACCCCCACCGGCGCCGAGCCCGCGCTCGTCGCCACCGCCCCGTCCTACCCCGTCCACACGGGCGCGCCGCAGCTCGTCGCGCCCTCGCCCACGAAGCTGCGCAATGGCACGTCGGCCGAGCGCTTCGATCTGTTCAAGCTGTGGGGGAACTTGTCGCCGTGGTATAGCGTGGGCCGCGGCGCGTTTGGCGTGGATGCAGGCCCCGAGCCGCCGGAGACGTGTCGTGTGACGGGGCTGCATTTCCTCCACAGGCACGGGGCGCGCTACCCGACTTCCTTCGGTGCGTTTGTTCGGCCTTTTCTTGCATTGCACGCTGCTCAGTTTCTGCAGCTTCGTATGGTGGGCCCGCGAATTTCTCTGGCCGTCTGCACGAGGCTGCCGCCGGCTGGAACGGCACGGGCGATCTCGAGTTCATGAACGAGTGGTGAGAGTCTCATGTGTATTCACTTTGACTTTGTTCCTGACATGCATGTAGGACGTACAAACTCGGGGAAGAAGGTATCTTCCCGCATACGTGTCTAGTGTCTCAGATACTCACTCGCCCAACCAGTCCTGACACCATTCGGCCGCCAGCAGCTCTGTATGTACCCTATCACACACACCCCCTTCACTTTACACTCATTTGCGCATCACAGTCGACCTCGGAGTCTCCCTCCGCCTCAAGTACGGCTTCCTCCTCGAGGTCCATCTCCTGCCCTCTCATCTACATCCCTGTCTAACACCTTCGCACCCACATCCAGAACTTCACCGCGGCCAACGCCATCCCCGTCTTCCGCACCGAGTCCCAGTACGCCGTTCTGTCTTTGCCCTCTGGCAGGGGACACTGAGCGCGTCACGCACAGGGACCGCATGCTCGCGAGCGCGCTCAACTTCGCCGTCGGCTTCTTCGGGTACCCGTTCGAGGGGCAGTACCAGCAGAGCATCACCATCGAGGCCGACGGTGTACGTGGGCCTCCTTCCCTGTCGCCCCATCCTCACCTCGGGCCCCCGCTGATTCCTTTCCCGCAAATTATAGTTCAACAACACCCTCGCGCCGTACAAGACGTGAGTCCCGCTCTTCCTCCGAGATCCAGCATCCGTCACTGACTCCGACCGCAGCTGCCCGAACGCGCGCATCGCCGCCAAATCCGACCGCGCCATCCCGTACGTGCGCGAGTGGGCGGGCATATACCTGTCCGACGCGCTCGCGCGCCTCCAGCCGCAGCTGAAGGGGTACCAGCTGACGGTCGAGGACGTGTACACGCTGCAGCAGATGTGCGCATACGAGGTGCGCGTGCTTGGCTTCTGGGGCGGGCGGGGGACGCTGACGGGGTTTGTGCGAGTAGACAGTCGCGATTGGGTACTCCAAGTTCTGCGAGCTGTTCACGGAGGAGGAGTGGGAGGGCTTCAACTACGCGTGCGTCCCTCGCATTTGCACCTCTCCTCGTCAACCATGTCTAACCGCATTTCCGTGCAGCATGGATCTGTATTTCTGGTGACCTTCCTCATTCTGTTCTTTTCCTCCCACCCTTACACTACCGCAGGTACGACTCGGCCTTCGGCTCGCCCGTCGCAAAGGTCCAGGGGATCGGGTACGTCCAGGAGCTCGTCGCGCGGCTCACGCACACGCCCATCCCCACGCACAACTCGTCCACCAACGCGACGCTCGACGACGACCCGCTCATGTTCCCGCTCGGCCAGAGCCTGTACGTCGACGCAACGCACGAGGTCGTCGTGCTCAACGGTGAGTGCTGTGGTTGAGAGATGTAGAGCAAGGGAGGCTGATGCGGGGGTCGGGTAGTGATCACCGCGCTGAATTTGACGAGCTTTGCGCGGGACGGGCCCCTCCCTGCTGATCATATCCCGCCCAATAGAAGCTTCAGAGTGTCCCAGCTCGCGCCGTTCGCAACGAACGTCCAGTTCCAGCGTACGTCCCTCTCTCTCTCTAATACAATAGCTGATCCCACCCACGGCTAGTCCTCTCGTGCGCGTCCACGCCCGGCCCGCAGATCCGCGTCATCATCAACGATGGCGTCGTCCCGCTCACAGGTATCCGCGGCTGCCCGGCAGACAAGGACGGGATGTGCCCCGTCGACGCGTTCGTCGCCGCGCAGAAGGAGATCATTGGGCAGACGGACTGGGAATGGGGGTGCCATGGCACGTGGGAGGTACCCGCGGGCCCGGCTTGGAATACGACCACGGGGGAGCCGCCGAGGAGAGGGGAGGTGGTCGGGTGATTGGTCTCAATTTATGTGGGCTGTAGTTTCGATCCCGGACATTAATATAATTCAATGCCCCCCCCCCCCAATATGCCTTGATCTCATCCCCCGATCCCCAGGAGAGCATCATAAGCGGGCAACCTCTGGTTTCAAGCACCTTTACACTTAGAAATACACAAAACCCCTAGTAGTACATTTACTCAAAGATATGGCCCATCACTTAGCATGCCAACACCCCGTTCTGGTTGTCAATGCAGGTACCTAACCGAACGACATCACTTGGCTTCAGTACTCGCAGACGAGCGAGGCACTTATGCTCACCTAGGTCTCCGATCGAATCAGTGTAACCGCCGTCCTCATTAGCGCACCCGCATTCGATATATTCGGGTTGTTGAACTATCTCGCATCCGCTGCAGGAGGCGCTGTAGCCGCCACTGCAGGGGCGTGTGAGCTGATCACGGTGGCTAATATGTCAGAAGGGACTTACTTTCCATGTACGCAAGCAAGTTGGCCGTTGTAGTTCGCGACACAGTTGTTCAGGTCGATGGAGGCATCGACCAGCTGTCCAGCATCGTTGTAGCATTGGGTGTAAAAGGTGGTTCCAGAGATATAAGCATAGCCAGGGCAAGTGTCAGCATAATTGGCACTGGCGATGTTGAGGAGGGCGAGAACGGAGGTCGCAAGGGTCAATGACAACTGCATTGTACAACTGGGAGTCATCCACCTCGAAGGTCTGAGCTATGTGGATTGTATGGAGAGCGTTTTATAGGGCGGAAAAGTGCAGGAGGTCACTTATAGAATGCATCTCCCTCCATGACTGGAGTGCGGACCCTGTTCCCTCGGCGAGATATCAGAAGAAAACTGACGAGAATCTCTTGTATAACGGACTGTGGTAAGACCCAGTGCCTCGACACACCTGATGCTTCACACGTACATTATCAGTCCGCTCTGTATGTGACCTTGCTCATCCGCCGGATCCGCGGTGTCGAGTTGTTCCATATGATACTCAATGCTATTGAGCGACAGCTGGAGGGGGATACATCGTACACCTGTTGACTGGGTATTATCGTAAGTCGTAGTACTAGTCTCCGTATATGAATAGACATTTGGGACTGACTTCCTTCAGTGCTCGTACCTACAGTCAGGGTCCCGGCGTGGGTTCATCAGGTTGTATATCCGGATGCACTTGAATTGCGAAAGGGAGGTCGCCGTGATATGCACCTGGGTTCTGACCTCTCTCATCATTATGCACGATGAAGTAACACGGATGTCGAAGTAACTCACTTCTAGCAACACAAAGGAACGTAGAAAGCCTGACGGTGTGACAAAATAGTAGCTTTGTGGCCTCCGGTACCTTGATGTTATGTACACGAACACATACTTGATACAGAAATGGGGAACATGTCGAGCGCCAGCGGCACCGTGCCGACCCCTTGCCAATCGAAGGTCCTGCATACCCCGCGGAGGACTCGGAGGGGAGGCACTCGCGTTCACCTCAGAGCAGCCAACCGACTGCCGTCTGGAGGAGCACGTGGTTATCTAGCCGCTCTCGGCCGTGACCTCGCCCATGTGGATACATCGGTTTGCACGCATTTGCCTATTTCCTATTTCGTATGTTTAGCCGTATGTTATTTCCTGAACACTCTTCCTTAGTTATTCCACAGACATTTTCCGAAACATATGATTTCATTATGTCGATTACTTCCGCTTTAGGTCTACGTCATATTGTCTCAGTTACTGTATTTATTTAGCTGTACTTCGTCGAATATACGCCAGAATTCTCCTCTCGCGTCTAAGTCTGACCGGTTTTCAGCCCGAAGACGTGGGTGTAATCACACTTTTGCAAAAGTGTGGGTTTACTAGTGCTCACACTTTTGCAAAAGTGTGGGTTTACTAGTGCTCACACTGGAGACAGGTCTCTCAGCTAGCTTCGAACTCTTGTCGACACCGCTTTACTTCGTCGCCGTTCCTCGACGCCGCTCGAATACTACACCTTCCATATCGGGTAACTCAGACAGTACGTATCGTCGGCCGACATATCCTGCACGTACTAAGCTACCCCCGTTATTATGGAGCAGGCACAAGACGCCCTTGCTGCCCTTGCGAATACTTTGAGTCCCGAGGCGTATAACGCCCTCCGGAACATTTTTGTGGATATCGACCACCGGCTTACCCAGGCTCAGAACACGGCTGCTACTATACAGGACATCCAACACATCTTCCAGCAAGCGCTCTCCAACGCCCAGTTCACCGTTAACACCCCTGCTCCCCAACCAC